TACGCCATATTATCTAAAGTTTGATTATTTAGTGTTCTACTTAGAAAGAAATTATCTTATATAATGATTATAGATTAATCTTTCATCATCTTTTTCTCAATAAGTTCAAAAAAATTTCACCTTATAAATTTTAATGTTAGCTTATATTTTTGTTTTACTATCACAATTAACTAGCATAAGAACTAATTGAAAAATTTATGAAATAAAATTTGGGTTTTGAATAAAATTTTAGAACCAAAATACAAAATAGTTAACTATAAATGTACTCAAGCCATTAACTTCAAAACCTAATACGTAAGCAAGTTCCAAGACTCTAAAATAGCAATAGTAAAAGTGGGAACTCGAACATCAGACATGACCATGGCTAGATGACTAACCAACAAAGAGGTTGAAATGGAAAAATTCATGGAGGTCGATTTTGAGATTTCATATTATTGAGTATTCCTCTTAATATGAAATAGAATAGTTCCATCATCTTATAATAACAAAATTGCTATATGAAAAAAATAACAAAAATAATCTATATCCTACCATTATCTTTTGGCTTTCACCAAGTATCAAAACTAAAATATTGAATATAAATTAAAAAGTTGTGCATTTTATGATTAATGTAAATACATCCAAAAGCAAAAATTAAATATTGCATTAACATGTGACAACTAGCGGTATACATTGCATGTCAATTAACAAAGACATGCCACTTAACAACCAATCAACTAAAAAATCTAGCAACAAAGTCAAAAAAGCCCAAATAACCAATTCATATTCTTCATGGTACATATTGATAATTTAAAAAATATATTATAACTAATTTTCTGATAATAAATTGTTCAACAATTAAAACAAAATGTTTCATTGATACATATTAATGCTTCTCCATGTAGCTCAAATTATGGGAAAAAAATATCTCAGTGAAGATCCAACTTGAGAATACTAAGCCCAAGGAGAAAACTCAGCTTATTGAGAGATATTAAACGGTGCCGTCTGGAAGAGCTTAAGAGAGGAATATCTAATGCCACCATATATAACAGTTTCGATGTAGACTGAAAATATATATTGTATGCTTTAACCAACTTAAAATGTTTAAGCCCAATAAATGACCCAACCCGTGTAAAAAACTCAGCCCATTAAGAGATCTTAAACGACGCCGTTTGGACGAGCTTAATATGCTTTTCTAGGTTTGTTGATCAGTCCAGAAACAGAGAGGCTGGTTTGGAGTTTGTAAGAAGTACAGAAAGGGAGAGAGGGATTGCAACTTCATGGCCGTCGATTGATGAGGATGATCTTCTAATAATGGTCGTTGAATGAAGAGGACATATAATTAGAGAGTACGCAAGGCGTGGGAAGAGGACAGAGCAGAGGGAGAGAAAGGAGCGGGTAGGGTTTTCAAAGTTGAAATCTGGAGATTCGAGGCTTTTGGGAGTGAGACCGGGGAGATTTGAGGCTTGAGATTCTGAGGTTGGAAAAATGGAGATGGGAAGGAACTAAACTCGTTGAGGAAAGAGCAATTGAGAGAGAAGCAGAATAGCTGCTGTGGTTTGAGAAATAGCCAGAAAGGAAAGGGCAATTGAGGGTAATAAGGAGAAAGCGAGGTTAGGGAGTGCCTTTGTACGGATTCTGCCATCTCGAAGCAACCACAAGAACGGTTCAAGTTTGGTATAAATCTCTCTCTTTTCTTCTTCCCATCAATTTGTTAGGTTGTGGACATTCTAAATGATGAATGGAACAAGGATTTTGGCACCCATGATTGATCAATATGAATGTTTGCTTGCTTCTGTCATGTTATACTAGTATAAGGTTAACGTATCTGTTTGGACTACCTTCTCTTAGAATTATTAGGTTGTACTTGCTGAGTTATGAGTAAAGGTCAGAAGGTGTTTGATAATTTGTTGTATATGTTCAACAATGTCCATGTTACCTGCTTTTAAAAATTTCTCCAAAATTCAGTATCCTTTATGTTTGTAAATTTACTTTGTTCCACCTATTGATGCAAAATTTTGTGAGGATCTTGTCTACCATTTAATTTTAAATGTTAGTGAAGTTTTGAAGTAGAACCCTTTCTTATGAAGGATTCGAGCTGCTTGAGTGACCTGGTTAATCCATATGATTAAATCTGTTATGAAGGGTATGTTTTAGCTTTATTAGCGTCTAGGGAAGGACCATTTGAAGTTAGGCCCATTGACTCGCTAATTACTTGCTTCTTGTAATTGCCTCATTGAACCTTTATAGGCTCTTATGGGATATTGATAGTGCCTTCACTATACTGTTCTTGAGATTAATGCACAGAGGGTCATGATTCAGAAAGTGCACTCTCTCACCATTTGACAGATGTCCTGAAGAAACTATATCTGTCAATGTTTGTTTGGATGAGATAAGAATGTTCCGGAGACTGCTATCCTTACTGTTTGGTGACCGAACAAGAGGTTGAATCTAAAAGTTAATTTTCTACCAAACAGATAAGTATACATGGTTTTATTTTTGTTGCACTGCTCTGGATGCCTAATTTAATGCTATTTAGAGAATCGAGAATGAGGATATATAGGTTATTTGTTGCTGTTCATGTCATGAGTTTTAATTATAAGACTTCAGTTGATGCAGAATCATTTAGGTTTAGATTGCCTAAATAAATAAGAAACTGTAATTATTTTAAATATAGAGATATTGTAATATTTTGGGAGTCTACTATTATAGTTTTTGCAACTTAGGATTTTATTCTTTTTTAATATTTAGTTTTCTTATTTGTATTTTTAATATTATTTTCTTATCCTATTAGTGTTAATAGTCTAATTCGGTTGAGGAAAGTTTACTTAGAAGTTGCTGTAAATATCTTTATGAATTCACTTTTGGAAGAGGCTTTACTTCTTTAGTAAAATACTTTCAGAGTTTCTCAAATTTCTGGTTCTGATATAATCAAATTCTTAAAGAGATCTTTTACGACGTCTTAGGTGTACTATCTAAGAACTTTAGGTATAATGTACAGCTTTTTAGATATCAAATCCTTAATAGTTAAGAAGGTGATGTAAAATGGCTTAAGTTTAATTGTCAAAATAGATCATAGATTATTATTCTAATAAATATAGTTTAGGAGCTGCTATTTTAGCTAGTAACTTAAAGATTTTATTCTTTTTAGTATTTTATTTCTTTCTTGTGTTTGTAGTATTATTTTCTAATTTTGTATACGAGTGGTACCCCCTTGGTACGTTTGTGCATAATAATACTCTTTCTTTTTTATCTCAAAAATAAATTATTTTCTAATTTAATTAATGTTAGTATTTCTTATTTCAGCTTCATCTAGCAAAGTCTACTTTGAAAGCATTATAAATATCTTTGTAATTTCACTTTTGAGACAGACTTCTGTTATTCAATAATATACTTTTGGATTTTCTCAATTTTGGTTGTGTGATATAATCAACCCTTAAATGCAATGTTAAAACTTCTTAATGTCATGCATAAAAAATTTTAGTTGTGAGGTTCTTATTCCCATATTCCTAAGTAGATAAAACCCTAAGTGGTCTTACATTAGTTGGTATTAAGGCTAAAAGAATCCTTCACATGGACGTTTGAGGAAGAAAAAATTTGGACTCGGTAGAAGATGATATCAAGATCTTGATTCAAGGCAAATTTAAGGGTTGAAATTAAAATAGAATTAGTTAGACAAACTCCTTTAACTATGGTTCAAGCATACTAAGCTTCCATTGACCTGGAAGAATATTTTAAGTTTCCAATTCCAAGGAACATTGAACTTCTGGTTATGGAATCCGTTCCTAAAGATATCCTTGGATCAAAAGGTGAGCTGAAGAATATATTTAAGTTAATTTCCAAGATTCCTTCCTAAGGTAAGAAAGTTGTTTGCTTTAGCTGTACATGTACATGGGTTACCAATTTCCAAAGAAGAGCAACTTTCTTTCTGAAATGAAACAAGAAGAGAAGATGCAAGGAAGGAGTGTATCCTAGGTTGATGATTTAGCTCCTATTGAACAAATAAGAATACCCCTTATTTGTCTATAGTAAGGTGCACATCTGCAGGACCTATAGTGGAGGAGCTAGAAAAACCACCATGTGTTCCTATTGGTCAAGATTTCCCCAAAAGACAACTCTATGGAAGTTCCATGCATGAAGAAACTTGATTTTTTTTGTACCAAATGGTCGATATATTTATTTTATCCTTTTCTTGACACTCAACAATTGTGTGTTTGCATTATTTTTGGTGCTGTAGAAGATGAGTGAGCATAAAGTTTGCTAGGTTTTCATGGGGAAGCTCTTAGATTTATTTTAAAAAAAAATGGGGAAGCTCTTAGATTAATATTTTGCATTATTCGCCACTTTGAAGTCATGCAAGATGACTTAAGTTTAAATTACCTGAATAGAATAGGAATTAGAAGTCAATTAAATATAAAAATATTATACTATTTAAAAGTTTCTCAATAAAATACTTCTGGAGTTCTTCTCTGGTTATGTGATATAATTAAATCATGATGATTAGACTTATTAATTGTGATGTTTAGGTTCTTATCCTCAAATCCCTAAATAGACAAATTAACCCTGATGTGTCTGATATTAATCTTTCTCTACAACAATAGAAAAATTATTTTCAGAAAATTCACAGATCTTTCTGTTGTACCTTAACATTAAACTTTTATTTTAACATAACGTCCTGAAAGGAGTCCTACTTGAAATATGCATTAAAAATTTAAATAGTAATTATAAGATGATAATTGAAATTATTCACAAACATTCTGTTTTAATTAAAATTATAAAATGTTAATTCAGATAAATTTTTCTTGGAAAATATTGTCTGGTGGTTGTATCTTTGACTGAAAAATTACTATTTCAGTCTCTTATTTGCTAATCATTTTATGATTAGATCCTTAGAAATTTTTATGTTAAAATTTTTTCTTTAATTTTTTAGATTGTTTTGAAAAAATTTTTTAGATTGTTTCAATTTGTTATTTTTGTTATACAATTATAAAATATTTTGCAAGAAACCACAAACTTTGTATGTACTGACAGTATTTTGCAAGAAACCACAAACTTTTTATGTACTGACAACACTTTGTTTCTGTAAAGTTTAGAAGTTATAACAACTGAGAATTAAGTTTAATATATTTGATTAGAACAATTGATCTGTTTAATTTAGGTTATAAGAAATTTGTGTACCAGAACTATAAAAATTATAATAATACCTATTAGGGAAGAAGATGCCTATGGTAACAATTATTTATTATTATATTTTCAATTTTTAGTCTTAGTCTTAATTCACAGTAAAAAATTTATACGTTAAGTCTTTTTTTGTCTCAGTCAATTAAGACATAAACAACTTCTGCTGCTCCTATGGAAAACGTTTTATAATAATTTTATACCCATAGTTTAAGAACTAAATTGTTTCTTTTTTAATTTTAACAAAATATGTACATATTAACTTTTTTATTAAAACAGGAACAAAGCAGCTGGTCTAACTGTAAATTGGACACATAGTTGATCCAGTTTAGTGTTAAATAAGTATAAAATTATGAGAACTAGTAAAAATTGATAAAAGTAGTGGAAACTAGCCAATTCGATTCAAACGAGCCAGTTCATTATAAGGAGAATGATCACTTTGACTTTTTTATCCCCTTCAAATTTTATTTAGTTTGTAGTAATAAAGTTTTATTGTTTAACGTAATATTTATATTTATTTCTTCACACTTTTTTATTTCAATAAAGAATATTTATATTTATGTATTTTAACATTAAAAATTATCAATAACATCTTAAATAATTTAACTAATAATTTTTTTAGCTTTTAAAATTTTATTGTTCTCTATATATATTTTTAAAATCAACAGTTGAACTAATAAATCAATAATTGATGTGTTAACCGATAATGTAAAAAATCTATTTGCATATTAGGCAAAGGCATTCTCCAATGGTGAACAGAGTTAAAGCAAACTTAAGGTACAGCCTAAGCCATGTCTATTCAATGTTTACATGACGAAATAAAATTCAGACAGCTTATTAGTGTGTTATGGGTTATTTGGAAAGAAAGAAATCTTAGGCCTTTGATGGGAAAGAAAACCCAATGTATAAATTAAGAGATAGGTGGTTCCACCTTTTTAGTCTATGTTCATGGGCGTGACATTGTTAGAGATGAGGATTTTGGGTTTGTCTTTGATACCCTAACTAGAATGTAAACAATTGTACATGGGTGGTACCCTTTTTTTTGGTGCCTTGTGAATATATACTTAACTTTTTATTTCAAAAAAATTAGTGGGTGTAGGCACATTCATGTTGGATAAATAATGGTTATAAAGTCTTTTCCAAAGAAACCCTTGTGATTTTGTTGGATAACACCCCACACAAGAACACAATAGAGGATAGAAAAACAGTCACAAAGAAGCGTTTTTTCTTTAAAGAACATTTAAATGAAAATTAAAAACCATCTTTCGTGCCTCCAGAATTTCATTTTGAATTGGCTGTTTCATATCAATCTTTAACTTTGTGCCCCAAAATATTCTACCCAGTTTGGTAGATTGTTTCTTTGTCAAGCTTATACCTGCAAATATTTTGTCCCCCTCCTCTCTGCATTGATTTTACCTTTCCTTCTCGAAGGACTGAGTAATCTGGGCCTGCATGTTTTTGGTGCTTTGTTTACGCTTATAATTTGTTTGCATGTCTAATCGAGTATCTGGGTTACTTATCTTGTTTGTATTGGCATAATATAAAATCAAAAAACTATTTTAGCTTTAGATAGGTCGGGGATGGTTATTTGTCTGATTTTAATGTGAATTATCTCTTTGTTTTCATACTCATTTCATCAAGGGATTGTTTGGTACCGCATTTTTACAGGATTTTGAATGTTGGTACTGTCTGTTTGGTGCCTGAGACAACTGAGGAAGAGAAATTCAACTGGTTGCTTTCTTTGCTGTTTAGTCTCTCAAGAAAAACTAAACTTTGCCAAAATGAAAACTTAGTTGAAGCAACACAATGAAAATTTTATGCAGTTTTCTAGTTTTCCTTTTTTCACTTTTTCTCCATTGCTTAACATCAATAAATAATGTGCTCATTGTTTCATCCCCGAAATTCAAGTTGGCTTTCCAACTTCGCCTTCTACCTATCCAGAAAAAAATTCCAGGAGGGTTCTCCTTGCTTGCAAGTCCTGCTCCTAAATTTCTCTTAGATATCCACTCATATCCAGTTCCATAAATCATACACATTAATGTAGGTTCCTTGCATTTTCCATAGTGATTATCCAAGCTTCCTCATAAAATAGGTGCGGTTATTGGGTGACCAGAAACATTCATGGCAGAGGGTACTGAAGTTGAGGAGCGAGTTGATCTTGACGACAATTATATGGAAGAGATAGATGATGATGTTGAAGAACAACTAGATGAGGATGGGGAAGATGATTCTGGCGATCCAAATGATGGAGAACATGATGAGGAGGAATATGAGGGAGCAAGAGGAGGGACCAGTGGAAAGGATCAGTCACCTGAAGACAACATAAGCCATGTTGATAATGAACAGGTTGAAGATGAAGACAAATTCACTCTAAGCGAAGATGAAAAAGAAAAGGTCGCCCATCTTCTTTCACTTCCTCCTCATGGTTCTGAAGTTTTTTTGGGTGGGCTTCCTAAGGATACGGTGGAAGAGGATTTGAGGGATCTCTGTGAAACAATTGGTGAAATATTTGAGGTAAGATTTGTGATAATCTATTTGAGACGATTTTTTTCCTAGTAGATTTTAATTTAATTTAAATATAAATCATATTGCAGATCAGGCTAATGAAAGATAAGGAATCTGGTGGAAACAAGGGTTATGCTTTTGTGGCATTCAAATCAAAAGAGATGCACAAAGGCTATCGAAGAGTTGCATAGTAAAGAACTCAAGGTAATCATGTATGCTTCTTGTAAGCTATTTTTAATGGTTTGGATGAGTAGATGTTTTGATGGTGGGCGCTCTCACCCCCTTCCCCCTCCTCCTCCCCCTCCCTTCCCTCCTCCCTGGGCAAAAAAATAAACTAATCTTGACATATATATTGTTTTTGCAGGGAAAAACTTTGAGGTGTTCGCTTGCAGAAACTAAAAACAGATTATTTATTGGTAATGTTCCGAAGAGCTGGACTGAGGAGGAGTTCAGGAAAGTCATTGAGGGTGTCGGCCCTGGAGTTGAAAATATTGAGCTGATAAGGGTAGACTGTTGAATTAAGTAATGCTTATACTTAAAATGTGTTTAAGAAGATTGTGACTGTGTATGTTGCTGACACTACCGGTTTCTTCCTTGTGTAGGATCCACAAAATCCAAACCGTAATCGAGGTTTTGCTTTTGTTTTGTACTACAACAATGCCTGTGCTGATTATTCAAGGCAGAAAATGACTACTAATTTTAAGCTAGATGGCAATACACCAACAGTAACATGGGCAGATCCAAAGAGTGCACCTGACCATTCTGCTGCTGCGCAGGTAAATTCATAGACGATTGAAGTAACTGTCTATAGCATCATTACAAGTGGCTCAGATTTTGACCAGATTCTGTTAGTTCTTTGTTATTTGATCTTTTGTTCTTGTCACAACATTGCTTTTGGATTTGTGATTTTTGCAAAGGTATTTTCCATTCTAGTTTGGGATTTATTTGGCTCAGTTGGTATTTGTACCGTGAGCTATTAAATTCTGTAAAAATGACAAAGTAAAAGTAGCTGTAAGATAAAAGCAAGTTCTACATGGTAAAACTTGCTTCAAAAAGTGTTTTTAATATAAAATTTGATACTATATTTAATTAATTACATTATAAAAGTAATAATAAATCTTAAAATGATAAAAAAGTTGCATAATAATTAAAAAATTATTTATTTAAGTAATATTAAATAATTTTCTTAAAAATTGTTCTAATAATTAAAACATATGAAAATGTTTTTTTAACATAAATAGTAATTTTAAATTATTCTATGTAATTTTTAAAATAAAAATGATTTAAATAGTTGATAACAATTTTTAATAATATATTTCTATTTTAAATATCAAATTAATAAATTAGTGAAACATAAATTTATGCATATTAAAGATATTATTCACCTCTAATGTAACGAGCCATGTATCAGATGTATTTATTTTCAGTTTTTTATTTTACTTCTATTAGAAACCAAAAATAAATTTTATTTTTATTCAAAAGCACTTCTGTTTTTGAGTGTTTGGCAAGGTTCCTACTTTTGGATAGCAAAGATAGAAGCAGAAGCTCTACACACTCATTTGATTAGAAAACCTCGAATGCAAGGCAAAAACATGGGTTTAATTACTGTTTACGTGAAGTGAAAGTATGAGAAACTGATAGGATAGAAGTCAGTGACATGTCTTGTTACATGGTAAGACATTCTGTATGTTTCTGTTAGTAGGTACAAAAACATTTTGAGGGGGATGATCAACTTTGTTTTCCTTTTAGGGCCTCTTTGATTCAGGTATATGAGTAAATTCTATGCTCTTCGGACTTAGGTTCAAGTGTCGAGTATGGGTATGGCACTAAATTTAAAGAGTCTGAGCATCATAGGTCCTCTTGCCTTTGGTTAATAAGCTGATATTACAAGGAATATTTAGTTAGGGCCTCTTGGCTCCAATATCTGCTTCTCTTTTTGTGGTTAAAAATAGAAGTTTGACCAAATACTAAAAAGTATAAGTGCTTTTAGGCAATAGAAGCTATTCTTTTTACTTTTGATAAAAATGGAACCAGAAGCTGAAAATAGTTGCTTTTGAGAAATAGCTTGTGCTCTAGGAGGTAAATAATATTTTTATTTATTTATTAGTTTCGTATGTAATTAATTAATACATTAGAGTTTTTAAAATTATATTATTTTGACTCATTGTTCATAATTTGGTATTTATTATAAATTATTTAAATAATATTTATTTTAAAATTAAATTATTAATTGAATAAAATAAATAAAAAAATGAATTAATATAATACTTTAAAATAATTTAAACTAATAGAATAGTTATTAGAAAAAGTATTATTTGAATAACTAAAATTATTAATTTGTATTATTATGTAATTTTTTATTATTTTAACATTTATTATTAATTTTATAACATGATTAACTAATACAAACTGTATTTTATATTGAAACATTTTTTTACAACAAGTTTTACCAAACATTATACTACTTGTTTTACTTTAATGTTGCTTTTACTGAGAGCTATTTTTAAAACACTTTCACTAGCTCACAGCACAAGCTATCTGCGGCAAATGGACTCTTATTGTGTTTGGTTTGTCGAAATAATTACTGGAAGCAGAAGTAAATTTTACATCATACTTTTAGACTGACTATCTTTAATTTTATTTATGATAGTAAAAATCAGTTCGTACTGCCTGTTAATTTTAATAATTTGAATAACAATACCAAAACTTATTCAGGAAATATAAATAAATAATTTGATGCTATAGTTTTATTTTAAATTGTAGTGGTCCGCTGAAATGAAAATTTGGTTGAAGACAACACCACAGTAATTCCATAATATTTTTCTATGAACAAATATATTGCCTTTTAAGTTAATTGCATAAATAACTCAGAGGATGGCACAGCTTTCTATCCAAAAATATATGCTCCTTACAGAAAGATTGATGGAGTTCTCTAGAATTATATTCACTATCATTACATCCAGATTAGGTGTCCAAATAAATTACTGTATATTATCCATAATAGATGTTTAAGAAGTTTGGAGTATTTTCTGTATTCGCTTCCATTCCATTACATCCACGGCAACCGAAAGACTCATCCCTCAAATTCCAAGGATAGATATCTAAGATTCCCAATTTGATGGGCAAAAACATATCTTAGTTGGGAAATTTGTTATCCAGTAATATTGATAGCTCACTTAACCAAGCATGGGTAGAAAAAATTACCAACCATGTTCCTGAATATTATATGATTATTTGGACCTAAAAATATTCTGAATGATAATAAGGTGAACGGAAAAAAAAGAGAGAGAATCACTCTTGCTTTCTTTTCTTCTCTTCACACCTTTGTACAACTATAATCATAGAAATGAACTGTTGGAGCTGTTTGATTACTTTCGTCAAGAGGGCTTTTTGATTATCCCATTAAGTACCTTACTTGGAAGGTTAAAAAGAAGCAAATAAGATGCATTTTTTTCCCCTTTATTTAAATGAAAGAGCCTTGCATGCAGATAAGGTCCAGGGTTAAAAAAATCTAAACATACGACTACTATAATACCTGCTGGAGATTCTGATAACTGCAGTCTGTTATTGTGATAACTAGTTTGTAGGAGATGAAATAAGTGGACGGGTCACTTGCAAATCTGTGGACATACAAGATGCCTAAGACATGCTTGGTTTATATTTACTGGGTTATAGACCAATATGATCTTGAGATCCAGTTTTTTGAAAGATGTTGCTGCTTCAACTCTTAAAAACAGCCTTTGAATTGCATATAACCAAGAAAAAATTTTCTGTTGTCATTATCTGTTGGAAGCTGGGGAGACCACCTATTGCTTTACAGTCTGCAGTCTACTGATGCTGGTCCTCAAAATATTGAGATTTGCAGGTGAAGGCTCTTTATGTCAAGAACATACCTGAGAACACTACTACTGAGCAACTGAAAGAACTGTTTCAGCGGCATGGGGATGTAACAAAAGTGGTTATGCCACCTGGCAAAGCTGGGAAGAGGGATTTTGGCTTCATTCATTATGCAGACAGGTCAAGTGCATTGAAGGCTATTAAAGAAACAGAGAAATATGAAGTCAACGGTAACTTTCAGACAAATCTTTTTCACTACTAGTTAAACAGATTTTTCCAGTTTTGGACTGTAAACAATAAGCTTGTTCCTTTTCAGGTGTATGATTACCTGCAAAAACATAGATTCTAGTGGTCTGTTGTAATCATGTTCTTAGTTGCTTGGAGATTATATTTTTAATATTAAAGGATATGGGAAAACATTGTGAAAATGACAAATGGCAGTAACGGATGACTCCAATTATCATTTGGTTTTGTAATTGGGTTATAAGGGGATTTGTTAGGTTGTCGCCTGTGCTCAATATTGAGATTTCATTTTTCCCACTGTTTATGGAAGTCCATAAATAATATGTTTGATGAACTTGTACTGCAGGCCAGGTATTGGAGGTTGTCCTTGCTAAACCACAGCCTGAAAAGAAATCTGATGGTGCTTATCCTTATGGCGCTGCACTTCATCCTGCCCATCTTCCTCATGCTGGGTATGGTGGTTTTGCAGGAGCTTCTTATGGTTCTGTCGGTGCCGGACTGGGTGTTACTTCTGGTTATCAGGTATTTGTGCGTATACATATGCCTATTTAATCTTTTAACATAGTTACAACATCTGTCAAATTAATCTTATAAACTTACATATGGATACAGCCAGTAATTTATGGTAGGGGGCCAATGCCAGCAGGGATGCAAATGGTGCCAATGTTTCTACCTGATGGTCGAATCGGTTATGTACTGTGAGTTGCCGTTTCCTTAATGATTTCTCTTTGATTTTGTGAGCATGAAAGCTCCTTATAATTGGTTCGACTTCTTGGGCACTGTGCAGTCAGCAACCTGGAGTACAGATGCAACCACCATCTCGGCCTCGGAGGGCTGATAGGAGCAACGGTCCTAGTGGAGGACCAGGACGAGGTGGAAGTACCAGTGATGAGGGTAGCCGTAGTAGAAGGTATCGGCCTTACTAGCATAAAGTTGCTGAGACATGTTGTAGTGTATGAAAGGAAACAGGATACTCTCTAGTTGGATGATTTGTTACTAGAGCAAAATAATTTTGCCTTATAATCTCACCTAATCATTCCTCTCCCCTTCACCTTTCCTTCATCCAATCCTCGCCTGCCATAGAATTAAGGGGAAGAATACAAGAAGGGGGGGTTAAGATGATATACCGGACAAGGAAGGGTGGTTGATTTGGGAAAGTGAATTATCATGTGTCTTAAATGTGTTAGGAGATTGTAGACAGTTGACTAGACTCTCTTTTCCTTATATTTATTGGCATTGTTTATTTGCACACCAAGCTATGTGCAAGTCGCACTTGCACCAGTTTGTTATTTTTAGAAATATGAGATTGGTTATGCACTGAAGAGTAAGGTGAGGTTTATGTTTCTGTCATGCTCAACGTACAGTTCCGTTATACCTATGTACATATGGGTACTGATAGTTAGAAGTAGCGAAGTTCAAGCTTAATAATTAATGAAAAGGGCAAGCCTGAACCATTTCATATTGTTGATATTATCCAAAGTATGCTCGGCAGGCTATCAAAGTAATTGCATCTCCTTGAATATGTTGTCACTTGTTCTTCAGGAAGTTGTGTGTAATTTCGAAAACTAATTTTGTGAACTAGAACATTTTAGAAGTGGGAAAATCAATCATCGTTTGTTGTCACGTATTCCAGACAATGCCGCAGATAAGTGGAATCAATTGGTTGAAATTTTTACTTTTGTTCTTAGGCCAAAAGGAATTTGAAAACAAAAAGGCCCAAGGAATGTTTTATGAGGGAAACAAATTTTAATGAATGGTAACTTAAAATCTCAAATTAAAGAGATAGGGGAATTAATTGGGTCTTAGATGATGATGCATGGAAAGTACATGACCGTTCTGGGAATAGATATAAAATTGAAAGTAAAACACAAATATATCAAGTATCATGGAGCTCCTTCGCACGCTTCTCCAATTCATCCAATTTGATACTCCACTCACTCTTTATACGTATAGGTCTCACCTTACTGTAATCCAAACAATCCTCCTCCCCCTCCGCCTCGGGAGATTTTGATTTTCCCATCCGAATCTTCTTCCCTTTCTTGCCACCACTCCTATTCTTCTTCGCTGCAGCTTTCTGCAAAGCCCAGAGGACATCTGAACCTTTTATCTCCTTTCTTCTTTCTTCTTCTTTATTTGTCTGCTGTAACTGTTTCTCTTCTGGGATTCTGGTATTGGGATTGGAAGAACCGGTGCCGGTTTTAAGTGGTGCAGAGCGGTGGCGTGGTGGCTGGCTTCCCCTGGCCGACAGTATTAGAGGTAGATGACTCGGAAGTGGTCTGGGGATGAGAAGGAGGTGGAGGTGTTGCGTGGCCCACATGCTTTACTTTCTTCAGTGCTTATCTCCTTCTGATTTTCTGAATATATTGAGTCTAAACTTTTTCCTTTTTCTTTAACCAAGAAAAGAAAAGAAATTTTTTTAAGAAATACAGGACGATGTTTACAGGAAAAATTTGTATTAATTTAGTTGAGGTAAATTTTCTATATTTTACAAGAAATGTTAAAATAAATTTTAATATTAGACATTTTACTACTTACCATCAAACTTTGGTGTTAGATTTAGCAGCGTTTTTCATATTTATTTTCTGTATGACAAATGTATATCTAGTTCATAGTATGAAATAATTTGTTCTTTTTACTTCAAGCCAAATACAAAGAACACAAAATTATTGAAGAAAAGTCAAACCTTCAACTTGTGGAGGTAATCATGTGGGTCATAATATGAAATAGTTAATTATAAAAGAAAATACAAACTAGTTTTTATTTTAAATTTTTTTTTTTTAATAAGAGGTTGTATGTTTTTTTGTATATTTTTATATTAAGATTCATTTATATGTATCATTTAATGTATGAATTTTATTTCTTATAAAGTAGAGACGTGCATACCAAAAAAAAAAAAAAAAACTTAGAGTGCATGGGGCCGGCACTGTGGGACAAATTAAGTTGTCCAGATGACATCGTACGAAGCATTTTAAGTCCATCTCCCAACTAACCGATCATCAATTGATGGGAGTTCTCAAGCTTCCAACCATTCTGATTTTGAACTCTCTCTCTCCGATTTCATTTGATGCCGACCTCTTCCTTCTTTTTTTTTTTTTTTTGATAAAAGATCCAAAACTTTCCATATATTAATCAATTGCTCGATACTGATTTAATCTTTATCTTAATAAAGATATGTTGAACACATTTTAAATACATAAAGTTATAATCATAATATTAAAGTTTTCATAACCTATAATTGACATACAGTATTTAGCTCAGGAATTTATCAGTATATATATATATATATATGTTATATCACCCAGTTTTAAATGATATGAATTTAAAAAACTCTCGTTAACATAGCAGCTGAATATTAATCCTTCTTGCAACTAACAAGCATACTCAAAATTAACATTGAAGTATAATTAAGAATGCACTATTGATATTTTAATAGAAATATTATTTCTTAATTAGTTTCTATTTATGAAATAGGTAAAATTTAATAATTGAATCAGGATAAAATAGGTTTGAATTAAAGATAAATTTATACAAGTTCTGTTTGTTTAGTAAAATATTATTCTAACACTCTTATTTCATTGAACGAACAAACCTTCTATGTCCTTGGGTTGTAATTGATTTAAATTATTCTATTATTATTTTATTAGTAAATTATAGTTATTTCATAAATAAAAATTAGTTATAATTTATACATTTAGACCATAATGAAATAAACTCTACTTATAATTAAATAAACTTTATTTATTATTGAATCTAAAGATCTTGACTAACTTATACTTATACTAGATGACTCTTAGAAAATACTGAGATCAAGAGAAGGAACTTTTTCATGTACAAATTTAATGTACATGAACCTAGGATATGCATAATATCAAACTCTATTTTTAATTTCTATGATTTAATGATATTTACAACAATCTTTTTAAGAAAATTTATTTTTATATTATTATCATTACCATAAATTTTATAACTATCTATAATACATAATATAAGATATTATTTGTCTCATATTGAAATTATTAGCTATCATTCGAATAATTAATAATATGGTAAAAATATATGAAATTATCACTGATCTCTTAATATTTTATATAAGTCAATCATGATAGAATTAAGGCAAAAGAACAACTTTTATATTATAATTAAATTTTTGTATTCACATAATATAATAATTGAAAGAATTTATCTGTTCAAGTTAATTTAATTAACTTTTTCTTATAATATATATATATATATATATATATATATTCAACCGCACTAATATTTAAAAAGATTTAAAAAACATACGAGTTAGGTAGAAGAAAACTAAAGTTTCTGTCTTTTGACTCCTTAAGCTTTATATGTTTTTAGAACTCGAATTCTTATGTCTATTCATCATGGAGAGAAACTGACAATAAATAATTGGTAGAAGGAAATATAATTTTATTAACTTACATACAAATTTTATCATAGTAATTAAAAAGGAAAAAAAAAAAAAACAGAACAAAGTTATTATTGAAAATTTAAAGCTAAAAAGATGTTAAAACGAAATTTATTAATGTAGACCACAAAATATTAAACAACATCTTGAGCTTCATGATGGATTACTTCAAATATTTTGGCCCTACTTCTTTTTAGTTCTTTTTTTTTTTTTTGTTGGGTCTAAGTTAAATAATACTTTCCTTATATATCAATTTCACCATTCGATTTCAAAACATATATATGATCAAAAATTTGCATATTAAATGATACACATCCCATAAACATTATTTCAATTACAAATTTTCTCAAAGAGAGAGAGAGAGAGAGAGAGAGAGAGAGAAAGGATCCCAAAGCTTTTTCATGTTGTGGGTAACGTAAAATATAAACTTTCTTGTACGTAGTATAATTACTCTTGGGCTATTATCTCATTTTGTTTTTATTAATATCTTCAATTACTTTCAATATTACATTAATCTATTAATTTTAGAAAATTTTAACTACATTTTAATTTTGTGAACATTAAAGTAGCTAGAATTTTTTCAGTTAATTCTTGGGAACATTTATATAGATTCCATAATACATCTTTCAAATTAATAGGAAAAAGTAAACAATTCAATTAAAAACAAAAAATAATGATAAAAATTAGGGGAATCGTACAATATTAACCCTTAATTTTGGAATTACAAAATATATATATATATATATAAACAGTGATATATTCATCAACAATTAATTGCTTTTCTTTTTCTTCCCAACCACTTGAAATAAATTTTTTCTTTTTAAAAAAAGAAAAATTAAAAGAAAAGGATCCACAATCACGTCACCGTCCCCATGCTCCATGTTGTTCCACGTGGTCACAATCAAGCCTGGGGAACTTTGACCGGATACTTATCAACTGAGTCAGACCACGGGTTGCCTCGCGACTCACTCATGGGAATTACCCTGAGTGCTTTCCACACTGCACTGTTACACTTGAAACCGGACCCAAAAGCAATCTGCCAGACCCGGTCTCCACCCGAAACCCGACCCTTAGCCTCGGCGTAAGCCAACTCGTACCAGAGCGAGCTACTAGACGTGTTACCAAATCGGTGCAGAGTCATCCTGGACGGTTCCATGTGCCACTCAGTGAGTTGCAGATTCTTCTGAATAGCGTCCAACACGGCTCTGCCTCCAGCATGTATACAAAAATGCTCGAAAGCAAGCTTGAAATCGGGTATATAGGGTTTAACCTTGGCTTTAAAAACCTTCTTCCGAACAAGGGTAACGAAGAACATGAACTGTTCCTTTAATGGTAGAACCATAGGACCTAGAGTGGTGATATTAGTCTTGAGTGCATCGCCAGCTACAGCCATTAGTTCTCTCGCGAGAGAAACCCCAATTGTACCTTTATCGTCTTCTTTCTGGTACACGCAGTTATAACTTTGATCATCCGAGCCTTTGTGGGTCCGAACCAGGTGTACCAGCTGATACTTGGATCGGGCTCTGTCTCGTGCCTTGTTGGACAAAAGAACAGCTGCGCCACCCATGCGAAAGATACAGTTGCAGAGCAGCATTGAGCGGTCATTACCGAAATACCAGTTTAGGGTAATGTTCTCTGTGCTCACCACAACGGCGTACGTGTTAGGGTTTGCTCTGAGGAGGTTTTTAGCGAGTTCGATGGATATGAGCCCCGCACTACAACCCATGCCACCAAGATTGTAACTCTTGATGTCTTCACGTAGCTTGTAGTGGTTGACGATCATAGCGGAGAGAGACGGGGTGGGATTGAATAAGCTGCAGTTCACGATAAGGATCCCTACGTCCTTGGGTCTGACTCCAGTTTTCTCAAAAAGCGAGTCTAGTGCTCCAAACATGACGAGCTCGGCCTCTGCTCGGGCCTCCTCCATGCAAAGATTGGGTGGTCTTGACGTTATCCCTATGGGTAAGTACGTTTCATCTCCCAAACCGGACCGGGACGATATCCTCTTTTGAAACTGAATAGTGTCGTCCGCAAATGCACCGTTCTCTTCTGTCATCTTCAAGAAGGAATCGACTGAGATTTTACATTCATCTTCTGGTTTGTAACAGGAGAAATCGACGAGGTAAACGGGTTTGGAGCGCTTGGCAAGGTAGAGGCCAAAGAGGAAGCAAAACACGAGAGAACCGGCTGCACGTGTGGCTACGTCGATGTTTCCGAGGATAACAGCGTGGTTGGACCATAGCTGTGACATCGGGTCAAGTTTTAAGCCGGTGATTCGAACCAGTGTTGATAGAGATAAGGGTAGGATGAGAGCGAACATGAGGATAGTAGCCGGGTTGCATGAGTAACCGTTATAACCCAACTTGACGTACTTGAGCTTGACGGACTGAAGGAAATCAGGCAGCCGTCGGCGGATTTTAATGACGGCAGAGGAGGAGTCAAACGCCATCTCCGCCGTCAATCTCTCCTTATCCATGATCTCTATGTCCATTTCTGTAATATAGTGACAGTGAAGAAGATTTTAGGTTTTGATAAATTTATAGACAACAGTGTGAAAGAAGCTAGCTGAACTAAATCACCATCCAACGATAAACAAACGCCAAATTCAAAGCAATCAAACCCTACACGCTTTCATAGAAAACAGTTGGTTGGGTGTGAAAGGGAAGGAGCAAATTAATAAAGAGAGATTTTAACCCAAAACCATGGGGGAAGGGGAAAGTAAATATATATGTACGCTCCAGCAAGAAATGTAGAATGATATTCTTGAAAATTAATTGGTAGGTAGTTCCTGGAAAGTATATATAGCTCAACAAACCCAAGGAATTGTGTGCTATTACTATATATAATAATTATATATAATCTTTTTTTTTTTAAATTGATTAAATTTTTAAAAGGGACCCATTAAATTTGGTTCTGATTAATAATTAAAGATTTAGTTTGGGAAATATTTGTTACATCAAAGTTGTGTTGATGCGGGGAGAGTGGCCTAATCATGTGATAAGATGGAGAGGTTTCTTCCAAGAAAGCTAACTAGTCTTTTATCCCTCTTAACATTGCATGGATAGCGCTTGTTTCCCACATGCAAACCCTTTATAATCAACAAAAATGGGTCCACGTCATGAACTTATAATTATATGAACACATACTTACCTAATTATCTCACTATATATATATATATATGTGTATATATGTTCACACTGATCACTTAATTATATCTTGGTAGCTAGCTCGCTAAGAGCTTGAATTTTTTCTTTTAGTAGGTTGATAGAAGAGATTTTTAAATATGTCCGAGATTAAATTAATTTTTTGGGATCAAAACTATTGAAGATATATTTAACATTTTATTTTCTTTAAGTAAACTATTTGTTTTCTTAATAAGAGGTTAAGTATTTTGTATGAAAAAAAGAAGATTTAAATAATTGAAAATGCATTCATGCATGTATATATACAGCTCTCTCTGACTTTGTAATTGTGTAAGGATGGGCAAGTGAGGGACTGTTGGTATATTTGTATACATATAATTGTACAGTGCAGCAATTGATCAACTACAAAAGGAAATAGAAGTATCCAAAGGGAAAGTTTTATAAAAAGTCGGTGGGGGTGGGTAGGTGACTGCCCATCAAGTAACAATTAATGAAATGGAAATAGAGTTGCCGCTAACCAAATTATTATATGAAACAGGCATATGTTTCTTTCCATTTTCATTTCTGTACACGTGGAATATTTAAGTTTAATTAGGTGAAAATTTGGTGTACTCTTCAACAACCAA